GGAACTTTGACCCCCCCAGTTTGAAAATCCTATCTGCGCCCCTGGTATTACCCCTACTGTCCAGTTGTCAGTCAGTCCTTTGTCTTCTGTTTCCTCTCTGGTGTTCTGCATTATTGGTCCTTCATTTCTTTTGTTCTCAACTTATTCTCTTTTCATTGGTTAGTTAATTCCCCTGTGTTCCTGTTCTTTGTTTAGCTTAATTTGTCAATATTGTTTTGGTCTTATTTTGCGTTTAGATTGTGTTAACCTCATTTAGCTCCACTTTGTTCAATGTGCTTTTTATTCTTTCAGCATTGGTGGTACAGATGACACTTTAAGAATAATACAGAATAATACAGTCTATTTGCAGATGATACTAATGTTCTAAGTTTTGGGAAAGATTTAATAACATTAATGGACAAGGTTGAGAAAGAATTAAATGCATTAAAGTGTTGGTTTAACTTAAATAAATTAACTTTAAATTTAAAAAAAACAAAATTTATCATATTTACTAATAGAGCAATTACAGTGGATACACATCTCAAAATCAATAATACAGAAATTGAAAGAGCGAATGAAATAAAATTTCTTGGCGTAACCATAGAAAAAAAGTTAAGTTGGAAACCGCATATTGACTCAATTAAAGCAAAGTTATCTAAATCATTAGCAGTTCTCTATAAAGTTAAAGAAATTTTAGATGAAAAAGCTTTATATCTTTTGTATTGTTCCTTAATTCTGCCTTATTTCATGTATTGTGTTGAAGTGTGGGGAAATACCTACGAAACCCACTTAAAGCCTTTGTTCATAATTCAGAAGAGAGCAATCCGACTTGTAAATAAAGCAGCTTGTAGAGAGCATACACATTTACTTTTTACTCGTTTAAAAGCATTAAAGTTAAAAGAATTAGTTACATTAAGAACTGCACAATTTATGTATAAAGTGATGTTTAATTTGATGCCAAAACAAATTCAGGATCTGTTCCAGATCAGAGAGAGTGTTTATGATCTCAGAGGGTATAAAATGTTTAGAAAGCCTAAAGTAAGAACTAAAATGAAACAACTTTGTATTTCTTGTGTTGGGGTTGATGTGTGGAATAAATTAGACCAGGAGCAAAAAGATTGTTCAACAATGGTAAAGTTTAAGGGTATGTTTAAATCAAGTGTGATTAAATATTATGAATCAAGTCAATGAAAAAAAGGTCATTATTTTGTTTTTATAAAGCTAGAATGGGGATTTGAATATATTCCCATACATTTCAAACATGATGTAAAAATTATGGAATCGGTATGCTATTCTGCAATGCAAATCGGGTGGCAGACCAAGGCGGGAGCCTTGGCGGTCCAATCCCCGGACAAGAAAACTAGTTTTTGGGACATGGAACGTCACCTCGCTGGCGGGGAAGGAGCCGGAGCTTGTGGCAGAGGTTGAGCGGTACCGGCTAGATATAGTCGGACTCACCTCGACACATTGCATTGGCTCTGGAACCCGAGACCTGGAGAGGGGTTGGACACTCTACTTTGCTGGAGTTGCTCCGGGTGAGAGGCGGAGGGCTGGGGTTGGCTTTTTGTTAGCCCCGAGACTCTCTGCCTGTGTGTTGGGGTTTACCCCGGGGGACAAGAGGGTAGCTTCCTTGCGCCTTCGGGTCGGGGAACGGGTCCTGACTGTTGTTTGTGCTTATGGGCCAAATATCAGTTCAGAGTACCCACCCTTTTTGGAGTCCCTGGGACGAGTGCTAGATAGTGCTCCATCAGGGGACTCCATTGTCCTGCTGGGGGACTTCAATGCTCACGTGGGCAATGACAGCTTGACCTGGAGGGGTGTGATTGGGAGGAACGGCCCACCTAATCTGAACTCGAGCGGTGTTTTGTTATTGGACTTCTGTGCAAGCCGCAGTTTGGCCTTAACGAACACCATGTTCGAACATAAGGATGCCCACCGGTACACTTGGTACCAGGGCAGCCTAGGTCACAGGTCGATGATAGATTTTGTAGTCGTATCATCTGACCTGCGGCCGTATGTTTTGGACACCCGAGTGAAGAGAGGGGCGGAGCTGTCAACTGATCACCACCTGGTGGTGAGTTGGATCAGATGGCAAGGGAACATGCCGCGTAGACCTGGCAGACCCAAACGCATAGTGAGGGTCTGCTGGGAACGCCTGGCAGAAGAACCTGTCAAGACGGTCTTCAACTCCCACCTCCGGCAGAGCTTTGACCACGTCCCGAGAGCAGTGGGGGACATTGAGTCCGAGTGGGCCTTGTTCCACTCTGCGATTGTCGAGGCGGCTGTTGCTAGCTGTGGTCGTAAGGTGGCCGGTGCCAGTCGTGGTGGCAACCCCCGTACCCGCTGGTGGACACCAGAGGTTCGGGGAGCCGTCAGGCTGAAGAAGGAGGCCTACAGGGCGTGGCTGGTCTGTGGGTCTCCGGAGGCAGCAGACAGGTACCGGATAGCCAAGCGGGGTGCAGCAGTGGCAGTTGCCGAGGCAAAATCTCGGGCGTGGGAGGAGTTTGGTGAGGCCATGGAGAAAGACTATCGATCGGCTCCAAAGAGGTTCTGGCAAACTGTCCAGCGCCTCAGGAGAGGAAGGCAGCAACTCGCTCACACTGTTTACAGTGGGGATGGGGAGCTGCTGACGTCAACTGAGGCTATAGTCGGACGGTGGAAGGAATACTTTGAGGAGCTCCTCAATCCCACCAATGCGCATTCCGAGGAGGAACCAGAGCTGGGAGGCCTGGGGATGGACTGTCCGATCTCGGGGGCAGAAGTTGCTGATGTAGTCAAACAACTACACAGCGGCGGAGCCCCGGGGGCGGATGAGGTTCGTCCTGGGTATCTCAAGGCTATGGATGTTGTAGGGCTGTCATGGTTGACACGTCTCTACAACATTGCGTGGTCATCGGGGGCAGTTCCTAGGGAGTGGCAGACCGGGGTGGTGGTCCCCATCTTTAAGAAGGGTGACCTGAGGGTGTGTTCCAACTATAGGGGGATCACACTCCTCAGCCTCCCTGGAAAGGTCTACGCCAAGGTACTGGAGAGGAGGGTCCGATCGATAGTTGAATCTCAGATAGAGGAGGAGCAATGTGGTTTTCGTCCTGGCCGTGGAACTGTGGACCAGCTCTATACCCTTGCAAGGGTGATGGAGGGGGCATGGGAGTTTGCCCAACCAATCCACATGTGCTTTGTGGATTTGGAGAAGGCTTATGACCGTGTCCCCAGGGGCACCCTGTGGGGGACGCTCCAGGAGTATGGGGTGGGTGGCTTTCTGTTAAGGGCCATTCAGTCCCTTTACCAGAGGAGCGTGAGTTTGGTCCGCATAGCCGGTAGTAAGTCGGACCTGTTCCCAGTGAGGGTTGGTCTCCGCCAGGGCTGCCCTTTGTCACCGGTTCTGTTCATCACTTTTATGGACAGAATTTCTAGACGCAGCCGTGGTGTGGAGTGTGTCGAGTTTGGTGGCAGGAGAATCTCGTCCCTGCTTTTTGCGGATGATGTGGTCCTCCTAGCTTCATCCAGCTCTGACCTTCAGCTCTTGCTGGGTAGGTTCGCGGCCGAATGTGAAGCGGCTGGGATGAGGATCAGCACCTCCAAATCTGAGACCATGGTTCTCGACCGGAAAAGGGTGGCTTGCCACCTCCGGGTCGGGGGAGAGGTCCTACCTCAAGTGGAGGAGTTTAAGTATCTCGGGGTCTTGTTCACGAGTGAGGGTAGGAGGGATCGGGAGATCGACAGGCGGATTGGTTCGGCGTCTGCAGTGATGCGGACGCTGAGCCGATCTGTCGTGGGGAAGAGGGAGCTGAGCCAGAAAGCCAGGCTCTCGATTTACCGGTCGATCTACGTCCCAATCCTCACCTATGGTCATGAGCTTTGGGTAATGACCGAAAGAACGAGATCGCGGATACAAGCGGCCGAAATGAGTTTCCTCCGTAGGGTGGCCGGGCTCAGCCTTAGAGATAGGGTGAGGAGCTCGGACATTCGGGAGGGACTCGGAGTAGAACCGCTGCTCCTCCGGATCGAAAGGAGCCAGTTGAGGTGGTTTGGGCATCTGGTCAGGATGCCTCCTGGACGCCTCCCCGGGGAGGTGTTTCGGGCATGTCCTGCCGGCAGAAGGCCCCCGGGTCGACCCAGGACACGTTGGAGAGGTTACATCTCCAATCTGGTTCGGGAACGCCTTGGGGTCTTGCCGGAGGAGCTGGTGGACAAGGCCGGGGAGAGGACGGCCTGGAGCTCCCTAATTGGGATGCTGCCCCCGCGACCCGGACCCGGATAAGCGGAGGAAGACGAAGACGAAGGTATGCTATTCTAAAATTTTGTTTAAGTTCAAAGGGTTTGGGGGGCTGGGCTTATAAGCGTATGCTTCTGCCTGCACCCATTCTTAGCATTGTGTAAGTTGTGTGTTTGCTTGTAAACCTGCACATGTTTCTTTGTTATACTATCATGTTGTACTATTGATTTTAATTTCTCATTAAACTTCTCAAACAACCATTTTAGTTTCCAATATCATCTTGTTTTATTTTCATTTATTAGCTCTCCTTTTGCCTCCGTGTTTTGCCTCCTTACTCCTCAGTTACTCTTGAATACAAGCTTATTGCTCTTTTCTTCTGGCGTAATTAAAAAGCAGAGGAAATAGAATCCAATCCAATCCAATCCAATTTTATTTATAAAGCGCATTCACAAGGCATTACAACCAGACAAGGCGCTGTACACTAAAAATGTTGGTTAATTAAACAGGCGTTATATAAACATGTCGAACACAGATAAAAGATAAAAAGGAAATATAACAAAATTCCCAAAAATAACAGCTAAAAATCAGTAAGACACAGGGTGAAGTAAAAATAGGAAAAAACATTTTACAAAGAACCTCAATAATACGGAAGTCGATAATTGTGGAGTCAGTTTATAAACAGTGCAGATGTCAGTGAGGTTCAGTGAGAATGTCACAGTGTAACAAAAGCAGTGGTACAGATGACACTTTAAGAATAACTTTCTCTTCCTTACAAATGTCGAATATTTTAGTGGCTTTATACAAAGTTTATTTTACAGGAGAGAGACGGTATAAGGTCCTTTGAGTTGCAGTGTCCTCATAACGCCGTTGACCGGTGACGATTGTTCCTCGTCGGCCACCGTATGATGACGTGGAATTTTCTTCTGCTCACTTTCCGGTTTGTTCAGCCTCGTTCGTTTTCTCTAACGTTTTCATCAACATACCGGACAGTTTTTGGTTCTGTAGGTAAAGATGAGGCGCGCCGGACTCGGTAAGAACCTGTTACACTTACGGTTTTTAGGTTTATGACGGGCTAATTTGCTAGCAAGTGCTAGCTAATGTTGTCTGACGTTAACAAGCTAGTTTCCTCCGATAAACATTTCTACTAACCTAACGGGACAGCAACGGTAAAAATAAATGTTAAGTTTTTTTTTTTCTTTTCTCCCAGGTGAAGGCGGCCCTGGTCATTATGCAGCCAGTGGTTATAGTGTGTATGAGGAGGAGAACGAGCACCTTCAGGAGGGGCTGAGAGCTAAAGTCAGCGCCCTGAAAAGTGTAAATGATAACTGCTGCATTAAAACTATTAAATTGTTGTTTATTAATATTTATTAGTAATAATCTGGTACTTTTTGCTCACAGCTGACCATCGACATTGGAACAGAAGTGAAATGCCAGAATAAAATGCTTGATGAAATGGTGAGTTTAGACGTTCAGAAAATGACTTTGTTTATTATGAACATATTTCATGACAGCTGTGGTGTTTTCCTCTGGAGTATTATGCATGACTCATTGAAACTAGGTTAGGGCTAATTTCCTATCTTAAATGGTTGATTAAATCAGTTGGGCCATCTTCACCCATCTTACTGTTTCTGTGCTTTTAACCTGCTGGATTTGTGATTTTTTCCCAATCCCTTTCCCTTTTAAGGACACAGACTTTGACTCGACGGGGGGACTGCTGGGAGCCACCATCGGTAGAGTGAAGCAGCTCTCCAGAGGCAGTCAGACCAAACTGCTGTGCTACATGCTTCTCTTCTGTTTTTTTGTCTTCTTCGTCGTGTACTGGCTTATGATCCTGAGGTGATAGACGTACCCTTTTGGACTTGGACCTTGTGACCCACATTCCCAGTCTGTTGGATCTTGAAACTAGGCCAACACAGTAACTGTGATTATGTAAGCCAGGGATTTTGTAAACGAGACGTGGCTTCATGTGCTGCATCAGAGCATTTGGGTCTGTCTGGGTTGGAGCGCCGGGACTAAAAAACTAAATCCAAATGATCAAAAAGGCAGAGGTGATTCGTAACCATGAAGCAATGTCTGTATTTGTGCGTTCCCTATAACCACCTTTAGTAAGATTAAGCAGATTTAACCTGTGACAGATCACCATGCTGTAGGGGAACGTACAGATGAAGCTCAATATATGGTTGAATTAAAATTAAGGCATTGCCCAATGATAAGTAGATCTTGTTAACAGCAGGAAACATTTCAGTTTCAACTTTGTGGTAAACACTTATGTAAATGAAGACCTTTTATGTTATAAATAGTCCAGGACAGATTTGTTTTATGATATGTAGTCTTTAAATAAAACCAGCCACACAAACAGTGATTGCTTCATTCACATAATTTGTTTTATTTTCTAAAAAAATATGGTTATTTTTCTAAAATGGATTATTAACTACTGAACAAAACTAACAAAAAATGCTTAGATTCATCTGAATAGCAAACATGATCAAAATCAAAATTCTAAGTTCACACATGGCTGAATTGCACTTCATTAGGCTTTTTTTCTTTTAAATGATCAGTATGCTTTTAATGATGATTATGACATAACAGGAGCAGCTGGTGGGCGTTACTTCTTGGGAAGAGTATCCATGTATTTGCAGATGATCCCCAGCATCACCTCGTCAGCACCTGCACCGATCGATATTAACCTGGAGTCCCTGCAGAGAAGAAAAGCCTTTTATTTATGTCACACTTAAACAAGCTGCAGGCAGCAGCTGGATCGTTGTCATAGTGATTAGTACAAAGTTGATTGTGCTGAGTCATGGTTACAGGGGAAAATAAGATGTTCAATTATGTTTACTCATTCGTTTAGAAACACTGGCTTTTTAGTCAGACTAATTTTGATTCTATAGTATAAAAAGATGTTTTGATCTAGAAGCTTAAATAATAAGTGACTGTAGCTCTTGACGGTCGTTTCAGTCCCACCTGTAGAACCTGCTGACCAGCACATCGCTGGTGTAGCCCATCCCTCCCCAGAACTGCAGACAGCTGTCGCTCAGCTCTCTCGCCAGGCGCCCAGCCTTCAGTTTGGCCATGGATGCTAGCTTGGTGACATCGTTCCCTTTAATGTACATCGCTGCCGAAAAATCAGGAGAAGAAACAAAGGTTGAAGAAAACAAGAGAAAGATGGAGGGACATGAAAGAGATGCAGGATCTCACATCAGTGTTTGTGTGAACGGGTTTTTCTATCCGTGCCTAAAAAATGCTCTTATCTGTGGGAATCTGGTCCCAGACTGGTACCAGTCAGATTAACGAACTCAAACCTGCGGACCACTGGGATAAGAAGAGAAGGATGATCACAGAACACCTGCCTCACAGGTGCTGCAGAACATTACAAACAGCTGGGTGTGACATAATCCCTCGTCACCATCGTTTTTTTAGTTTGACGTTTTCTCACATCCATCCATCGTCTTCCACTTATCCAGGTGGGGTCGCCGGGGAAGCAGCCTAAGGTTGGTTTATGCTTGACGCGTCCGCGAGGCGAAATTGCGTCATTTTAACAACCACGCCCCTCCACCGCGTCTCCGCACAGCCCAAAATTTCCGCAACGCGCACCTAGGAAAATTTCTAACCACGCGTATGGTCGGACGTGGAAAAACATGGCGGATCGGCAAGAACTAGTATGGCAGAGGTTCGTAAATAGACATTTGTATGATTCAGCTCTCAAAGATCACCGTGATCAACATGTTGTTAATAATTCTTGGAGAAATAGCTCGCACTGTCGGAAAAGACGAGGACGCTGTTAAAAATGCTGAAATACCATGTTGTAAACAGTAATTTCTACTTCTATGGTGTAGTGTTGGATGCATGCTGTAGAGCTCCATGCTGCCCCCTACAGTTTGGGAGAATATTGGCTCACCGCAGAGACGAGCCGCACGAACCATAAACGCTGCGAGTTATGAAGCGCGTTCCATCCGCGAGCCGCATCACCGAGCGGAAAGTGAATGCGTCAAGCATAAACCAAGCTTAAGCAGGGAGGCCCAGCTCCTCCGCGGGAAGGTTGTAAAATGGAAGTCACTTGTGTGAATTCAGAAAATTCCCACAGGGCTGTTTGGACATCCTGATTAATGCTTTTATTATTAGTAAAACACCTAATCCTAACCTTAATCCTATCCAGGAACAAGATTAACGATGCATCACAACTAAAACTGATGTTCAGATAAATGCTGTATTTGACCCCATCGCTCCCTGACTGTAACCGGTTTATTTTAGGGTTAGGATAATATTAAAATGAACAACTCGTAATTCCCTCTGCTTGCAGGTGGAATTCCTTTTAAATGACAGAGCAGCGGCTCGTCCCACCCAGCTGACGATCGTTGCTTTGCCGTGTCAGTAACGCTACCTGTGGCACGGTAGAGGAGAGAGCGGAGCAGCTCGACCTCCGTCTGCAGCTCGGCTAGCCTGAAGTGGACCGTCTGGTGATAAAGAACAGGCTGCTTGAAGATCTTCCTCTGCCGCGTGTATCCGATGGTCTCCTGAATGATGCTGTCCATCGTGGTGAGGACTGTGGGACAGAAACGAAGGTGATCATCAGTAGATGATGCTCTGCTTCACATCTTTGTGCTGTTACGCCATTAGCTTGAGCAGACTCAGGAAAAGCACTTGTTTCTCAGACGATCTGCCAAGGAATCTCTTGAGACATGCTCAAATTTAAGAGCAACAACGTTTCCACGAAAGGTGAAAAACGGATCTTAACTTGGTCTTTTTAAGCTTAAACCAAAACAAAAGCGGAAGAAAGGCAATGCGCAAAGAAAACTTGGAGAGATTAAATCTGAGTGAGACGAGGCGATTAGAGGTCACGGTTCACTCACCGTTGGCCACGGCCCAGAGCCGCTCTTCCTGGAACTGAAGCATCTGGTAGGTGAAGCCCAGACCTTCCTGGCCGATGACGTTCTTACACGGCACGTGGACGTCATCAAAGAACACTTCAGCTGTGTCCGATGACCACATCCCCATTTTATCAATCTTCCTGGCAATGTGAACTCCTGTGGTGGAAAAGCACGAACCAAAATGGTAAATGGCCCGTATTTGAAATAGCGCCCTCTAGGGTCCCGGAACCCCCAAGACACTTCACAACACAATCAGTCATTCACACGCTGGTGGTGATGAGCTACGATGTAGCCACAGCTGCCCTGGGGCGCACTGACAGAGGTGGGGCTGCCGAGCACTGGCGCCACCGGTCCCTCTGACCACCACCAGCAGGCAAGGTGGTTAAGTGTCTTGCCCAAGGACACAACAACGGCGACAAAGTGAGCGGAGCTGGAACCTGCAACCTTCAGATTACGGGGCGAGCTCTTAACTCCTGTGCCACCGTCGCCCATAAAAGTTGCCCGTCACTCCTAAATAACATCAAAGCCACTAAACCGAGCCTACCTGGCAGGTTCATGGGCAAACAGATGAGAGATTTGTTCTTGTGAGGAGGTCCATCACTGGTGTTGGCAAGGAGGCACATCCAGTCAGCCTGGGTACCGTTGGTGGTCCACATCTTTCCTCCATTTATCACATATTCATCCCCTTTCCTCACTGCCTTGGTCATGATACCTGAATCACAGAACAGTGAAATAAAAGTGAACTCCAGAAGGTTTTTCAGCAGCTCGAGAAGAAAGACCAAACGCACTTGAGACATCAGAGCCTGCTCCGACTTCACTAACACCAAGACAGGCCACTTTGTCCCCCAAGATGGAAGGCAGCAGGAACTCTTTCTTTAGCTGGTCTGAACCAAACCTGCAGAAACACACAAACACTTCACATAACACCTCCGAACGCAAGCTTAAAACGGGAAAGTTGTGTCAGAGTTTTAAAACTGTGTTGTTTAACTGCGTTTGGGGCCTTTTCTGCTCCAGTGGGAAAGAAAGGGGAACTCCTGTGGTACCGCTCCCCCTCTGGTGCTGCTTTTCCACACAAACCTCTTAGATCTCTTAATTAAGCTCCTGAGACGCAAACTGATGATTACAAAGAATCCTGTAATGAGTCACCGCCTTGTAGCAGAGAAGTCTAGATGGGTGGGATGAGCTATTACCTAATAAACCTACCAGCCAAAACATTATGACCACTCATGGGCTTTAAATGTATGGACAAAGAGGACAGGAAGGACTTGCACCGTACAAGCCCCCACAATGCAGGTGAAAAACTGAGGCCAACGCAGAAGTGACAAAAATTGCAATTCCACCCTCATCCACTAGGGGCTGGTGTCGGAAGCGAGCAAATCCTCATTGACTCCCATGTTAAAAATACCAATTTCACAGCAGAAATAAACATGTTTACAGCCTGGTACCAAAACATGTTTTTGGATTAAATGATCTAGTTTACACTCATGACAACTCTGAGGGGGGTGAATTTTTTTCTCACTCTTCTGTTTAAATGTATTAAAAGCCTAAAATTCTGTATAATTAATGAGCGTCAGACCCACGTGACCACAGAGCTAGCTCCGTGGAAAGGCCTCAGTAGAGCCTCGGTCTGGCTTGGAAACTGCTCTGGCATTTTGAGTCTCTGTGTTTGTGTATTCTTTTTTGGATATTTTTTGTGCAATTGTTGGACAAAATGACTTGCTGTGGCATTAATTGCACTAATAGAGCGTCCAAGGAGTCTCCACTTCATTTTTTTTGGTAAGTAAAATTATATTTATGTATTTTATATCACTGCCGAGCTGAGCTTAGATTTTAACATGTACTGTTTAACCATGAAATTTAAATGTAATAGGGTAAAACCCAGTGCATTTAACATAATGCTGCACTTTAGAAAATGGGTTGAAATATAACATGTTGGTGGAGCTGGGTTCCCACTATCGGCTTGTGGAGCTCTGGGAGATCTCTGTGTTCCACCCGGTTTTACCCAGCGGATCTCTGACTTAGAAGCCCTGGTGTTGGGCACAGTTAACTCCGGTTGTAGCTAGGCTGCTACCTCCGCGTTAGCTTTGGGTTAGTTTCAGGTTAGCTTGTAGCTAGTTTGACCGGGTGTCAGTTGATCCCAGCCTTACAGCCCCACCCTCAGCTCCACCTCTCTTCCCTTTTGTGGAATTGTCTGGGCTTGACGGAACCTGGGACACGGTCAAAATGGCGGTGGTGGCCACCTCCCATTTTTCTTCAAAAACGTGTTATTGGAGCCTATGGAAACCCATTGTGCAATATTTATATGTCGATGGCTCCGTATTAGTGGGATGATTTTGTAATCATTGACAGCTACATTTGATTTTGCCTTGAATTACAACAAAGAAATCAATTATCCTTAATTTCTTACAAAGTGCACATTATTTCCAATCATGTGTGTCTGTGTGTGTGTGTGTGTGTGTGTGTGTGTGTGTGTGTGTGTTGTACATTGCTGGCTATGTGTGTTTGCAGAAAGCTGAGTAACAAAACGGAATTCGCTACATTATGTTGCAGATGTTCAAACAGCACATCAGCTTCCTCACATTGTGAACACAGTTGGTACGAGTGCCAATCATGTCTGCTCTTGTCTGGACCAATCAGAACCCCTTAAGTCACTTATGAGTCCTTACTGAGCTGAGAAAATGTAAGAGTGGAAATAGACGAGATGAAAATAGTATGAAGGACTGCAAACAGCCACGGTGCCGGAGGTTTTTTAAGGCAAAAACCTAAAATCTGTTTAAGCAGATTATATATATACAGTGATCCCTCGCTACTTCGCGGTTTGTTTATCGCGGATTCACGACTTCGGATTTTTTCTTTGGAGCCTTATTCAAGGGAAATTCACCGATTCGCGGTATTTTTCTATGCGAAATATCAAGAAATTCCAGTTTTTTTTCATCAATTTCATCATAAAATGCACTTTTTGTAATAAAACTATTAAAAAACCAAGTAAAAAATTTTTTTTCTTGAGTTTTACCCACAAAAAGAGAATGTGATCATACGATAATTCAATATAGTACTGTACTGTAAATATGGTGTCCCTACTTCGCGGATTTTCACCTATCGCGGCCAGGTCTGGAACGCATCGACCGCGATAAACGAGGGATCACTGTATATATTAGGGCTCTTATCCGATCATGTGATTGGAAATCGAGTCCGTTCACGTGATTTTCAGGAAATCAGAAATGGTGGGCAGTAACCCCCAAACTGGAGGAGAGGCTACAGCAGATCTCAGGAAAAACATCAGACATCTCAGTCCAGACAAGTGCAGTTCTAGGAACAATTAAGATGCTGCAGAACCCTCAAGCTCCCAGGCCTCTGGTGGAAGACCTGAGCTTGGAAAGATGAGATGGGATTTTTTTTTGTATGTAGGGGTGTGTGTGTGTGTGTGTGTGTGTGTGTGTGTGTGTGTGTGTGTGTGTGTGTATGTGTGTGTGTGTGTGTGTGTGTGTGTGTGTAAGAAATGTCATCTTATGTTTTTACTTGGTGAAAAGGTTTGATTGCACTATTAATTATTTAGATAAATAAGTAAAATCAATCTAGATTTTGGGATTTTTGTTTTTGCCACACCCCCCACCGCCACAGCCCACAAACACCTCCCCCAGGTTGATCGGCCTGTACCTGGCCAGGGCTGGAGTGGCCATGTCAGACTGGACTCCGATGGCCATGGGGATGCCCCCACAGCGGATGTTTCCCAGCTCCTCGGCCACGGCCACGCTGTAGCTGAAGTCCAGTCCCAAACCTCCAAACTCTACAAAGGACAAAAATAATAAACCAACATTTGTTTAACTGTTAAAAGAATTTTCATTTTTTATGATTATTTCACAAAGTTTAACAAATATGGGAACTTGGTTAGAAAAAACAGAACAGCAGCTATGAATTAATATACTTATCACCTTATTGATCACCCTGGATCCTCATTTCCTGACACGCCGGTATCTTTTGGGTAATCTCTGTGCGCGCTCACACACACACACACACGGTGTGTGTACATAACATTTTTGAAGTGAGCTGTTATCACTGGAGCATGCACTCAAATTAATAACGGGATGTTATCCCTAATTCCCTTCTCTGTAATTATGAGTGAAAAGCCCTGCTGAGATATCAGCAGCACACAGGAGAGGGGTCAGCGTAATTTCAGTCTCATCTCGTGTCTTCTCTGGACTACATCAAACCTGATTTTGATACTGGGTCCATTTGCTGAAATATCCTAAAAAGAACCTGATGTTTATTCCCTGAACTCTGACACTGGAGACATTTACGTTGACCTCAGGTCCTTAATGGAAGTAGATTTAAAAACAGATTTTGTCAGTCATCTCTACTTTTCCTCCTGCTTTCATCACCAGCTGCAGCATCTACTGAGAAACGAACAGACCCTTCTATACAAACATTTTTTATGTCAGTTTCCATCTGTTTCTGACAGAACTGGTCCACTTATGTACTTGCCTCTAAAAGGCCTTTCTCGGTTTTCTCACATTATTCTAAATTTAAAGCTGGAATAAAAACAGATGCTCTGGAGCTTTTACATGAATGTCAGCTACAATTTTACGAGGAATGGTTAAAATCTTACGGACAGATTTTTGACCACTGAAGTCTAATTTATGGTGTTTGAGTGAAACTTTATCACACAACTATGAACCTCAATGAGGATTTTAGTCTCTGATAGCCATTTATTAACATGCCATTTTCCCCCTAACAGGACAAACTTGTAGATGACACCAGGCTGTGCGTTCAAATCATTAATTTCTGTAGGGATCACAGTGTAGGGAGACCATTATGCACACAAATCAAAGGGTTTGTCTTGTAAACAGGTGTTTTAAAATCACCAGGCTGTTATATAAACAGTTGTAAACAATAGCTTTTGCTCTATAGGTTCAGTAGGGGTTGGTTTCACTGTCAGTGAGTCACATTTACAAAAAGGTCATTTTGAATCCCAACACCTGTGAGAAGCACGTCTGGACACATATCAATGACATCCTCTGAAATTTCTTTTTCTGATGAAATCCTGTAAAACAGTTTGCTTCTGTGCCCGTCTGTCAGTACATCCAACATGGCTGAATGGAACACCGAAACAATGTCTCCAGGACAGCGGAGCATACTTGGTGGGCGTTTCCCAATGGTGATGATGTCACATTCAAATAACCACACAAACAACTTGAAGAGGAAAGACAAACTCTTTTTGTTCTACAGATAGTTTGGCGTTTTTCAAGTGGAATCAGAGTATTTGGTAATACTTAACAATAAGGATCTATTTATTAAGGTTACTTAGTGCATTAGTAAGCATTAATAAACAAAGGATCCCCCGTATTAATGTTAGAGCACTATTAATCATTATTAAAAAGGATTATTTCATTACCATTACTTGCCTTGGTGCATTATTAACTCATTAACTACCATCAACGAGAAAAGTCGTCATTTAAAATCCAACCGCTCACTGCAAATGACGAATAAATTCGTCATTTGCATGTTTTAACTGAGTGGGCGTCAGTATGCGCCCCTGCACCATGAGGACAAACATCTTAGCTAAAGCCGTTCTTCATCCACGTACGTCACACGTCACGTCACCAGGAAGCAGAAAATCCATGTGTTAGGAGATCGTTTTGGGCCGCTGCTGCAAAAAAAGTGAGGAGCGAACCGGAGAAGCTTCTGCCGATCACAATTTGACAACGGATTATGTAAGAACGGATAACGCTCAAAACACGCAGATTCTTTCTGATGTAAGAGGTGAGTCTCCGCTTTGTTTTGGTTGTTTTGGCGTCGACATCATCCCAGCACGCAACGTTCTGTGAGTCTTAAAAAAACAGTAAAAACCGCTGGCAACGAAGGGCTTTTCTGATCAGGAAACGGTTGGCAGTGAATGAGTTAAGCATTAATAAATAAAGGATCCCTTTATCAGTGTTATTTTGTGCATTATTAAGCATTAATAAAAATGATTATTTTATTACCATTGCTTGGTGCATTATTAAGCATTAATAAACAAATGATCCCTTTATCAGTGTTAATTTGTGCATTATTAAGCATTAATAAAAAGGATTATTTTATTAACATTGCTCGGTGCATTATTAAGCATTAATAAACAAAGGATCCCCTCATCAATGTTACTTAGTGCATTATTAAGCATTAATAAAAAATATAATTTTATTACCATTACTTGGTGCATTATTAAGCATTAATAAAGGATCCCCTCATCAATGTTACTTAGTGCATTATTAGGCATTAATAAAATGATTATTTTATTATCATTACTTGGTGCATTATTAAGCATTAATAAACAAATGATCCCTTTATCAGAGTTAATTTGTGCATTATTAAGCATTAATAAAAAGGATTATTTTATTACCATTGCTCGGTGCATTATTAAGCATTACTAAACAAATGATCCCTTATCAGTGTTAATTTGTGCATTATTAAGCAGTAATAAAAATGATTATTACCATTGCTCGGTGCATTATTAAGCATTAATAAACAAAGGATCCCCTCATCAATGTTACTTAGTGCATTATTAAGCTTTAATAAAAAGATTATTTTATTACCATTACTTGGTGCATTATTAAGCATTAATAAACAATGGATTCTTTAATCAATGTTAGTGCATTAAAAAACAAAGGATCCTTTATCAGTGTTAATTAGTGCATTATTAAGCATTTATAAAAATCCCTTTATCAATATTAGTAGGGATGCACATTTTCCAAACTGTCTTTAATCAGCTATTGATGCCCCTTAACAGTTAATACCCGGGTAACCGGAAACCAACCAGCTCATTTCTTCTTCCACGGTTGCTTAGTAAATATAGTTTGATAGCGGCGCACTTCCACCCTCTAGTGGCACAAAATATATTACACCCCAGCACAGCGAAAGGATTAGAAGCAGATTCACTGCCAGCCGTTTCCTAATCAGAAAAGCCCTTCGCTGCCAGCCTCTTCAGCGTTTTTACTGTTTTTTAAGAGTCACAGAACATTGTGTGCTAGGATGACGTCAATGCCAAAACAAAGAGTAGACTCACCTCTTACATCAGGAAGAATCCGCACGTTTTTAGCGTTATCCGTTCTTTCATAATCCGTTGTCGAATTGTGATCGGCAGAAGCTTTTCCGGTGCACGCCTCACTTTTTTTTACAGCAGCAGCCCAAAATGATCTCCTGGATTTTCTGCTTCCTGGTCATGTGACGTGTGATATACATGTATGAAGATCGGCTTTAGAGCTGGTATGTTTGTTCTCACGGTGCGGGGGCTCGTTCCGACGCCCACACTGTAAATAAAAATGCTAATGTCGACTTTAGTGAACAGTTGGATTTAAAATGAAAACTTGTCGACAATGGCAGTGAATGAATTAACCAGACAAAACTATTTTACTCAGTTACAGCATTAACAGCAATTAACTGGTTAACAGGTTATCAATGTACATCCCTATTACTTAGTGCAAAATCAAGCATTATTAAACAAACGATCTTTCATGATATTGTTAATAAGTGTCCATAAGGTTAGGACAAAGGGCCGGGCATGGACGTCATTTCCAAAGTCAAGTTTTGACCCCTGCACTTTTTACCATCCAAAAACAATATTGCGCTATATTAAATGGACACTGGTTGAGCCCACCCCCCTGAAGGTAATCAATACAAAACCTCATAACTGCTGATCAGACTTGTGAATGATCTAAGCTTTGTTTCTCCACAATTAAACAGAGAAATCCAATCTCTGACTGAGGGAAGCAAACGTGGACGGACAACGCTGAGGGAACTGACCACATTAAAACATCACCTGTCAGACCTGTCAGATTAGGTATTACATAAAAGTAAAGCCAGGTCTGCAGGTTGATAGGGAATAAACAAAAAGCAACACAAACAGAAGGAAATGTAGTGGGACACGCCAGCGGGGGAGCCAAAAGTCAGAGGAAGCAGGTGCAGCTGTGCGGTGATAAGTCTCTGAGCCCTGGAAACCCCACAGTGGCTAATGTGAGCGAAGGACAGGGCCAGGTTTATCCCACTTCAAACAAAACAGCAGGCTGTCAGCTTAAACAAGCAAGTGGAATTAAAACAAACAGAATTCTGTCACAAATGTCGAACCTAAACACTGATGTTTCTTCAGATGTTCTCCCCCATAGGTTCTCCCCGGGTGGAGCTCCATACGAGACAAGCTGATGGAGCTCTTGTCTGAGATGTCAGTCTGATAAAAACACTAATCTAATTAAAGCTTATTTATTTAAGCTCTAAAAAAAGCAGTTAAAGGGAAACCTGTTCAGGCTGCAGCTGTCAGAAGACGAGGCCACTTCCATGCAACAGTGAGCAGATCTCTCAGAGCAGAGGAAGTCAGGGGTCTTGTCCCCCAACGTGATACCAGGGCAAAACTTCCTGCTCTCGTGTTGGCAAAAGTACGGTGAGTGGAAAGAGTCGGCACAAACACGTAGAAACAGGTTTGTTAAAAACCTCTACAGTTTAAAGCATTAAGCATACAAACACCTTGTTTTGTTTCACTGATGTTCCAGGATTAGCTCATCCTGATTGTACACTGTAAAAAACTAATCTCAACTCCTGAATTCTTCATTGGGGGGAAAATGTGTCGTTTCTCAGCCTGCTGGTGTGCTAACCTAGGGCTGGGCATTAGACCACCTGCATATGAAGAAACACTCTCTTTCCATCTAATCATAGAGCCCCTAATAAGTGTAAGGTCTCAGAAAGATCCATTAAAAATATATTTACTACATAATCTTTTAATTTACTCGCTCATCTTCTGTTGCTTATCCTCACTGGGATAGC